ACATAATATTAGCTTCGATATTTAACGTAATTGCAGGAATGCATACTGGTTTCTGATTAGCACACAGCATATCAGTTTTTAGTTTTAATCAAGTGCTTAGTTAATCATCCTAAAATAACAGGATTAAAAACGAATTTACTGTGCTTACGTGCCATATCTCTTTTGTGTCAAAAAAGTTTTAACTTAATTTTGGCCCATATTGGTATATGTCTCAAAATTCAAGAAACAAATTCACAAACGCTTTAAGTCTTTTATATTGCTAAAGGAATTGAGCGTTAGATTTGAAGTTGGTGTAGTCGCTTCTGAAAACTAACCTAGAGATATGCGATCGTGCATTAAACAATGTTTCACTTTTCTGGGAAAGCAAAGAAACCCATAATAGATGTATGATACGGTATTTTAGACTGCAATGTGGCAAGGTTTTGGTTTTTTCTAATATTGACACACCTGGAAATATATTTATATCAAAGATAAGATAAGAAAGCACCAATCTTTGTATAGAAAGAATATAAAAATGTCACTAGTTCCGTATAGATTAGTCATTAGATAATATTTATATGACTAATATTTATAGATTGTAGGTATGTGACAAGGGTGGATAATGATATTAACAGATCTACACCTACATAGTATCTACTAATTCATTCATACTATAGCAACTAATTACTAGTCGATATAGGTCAATATTTCTCTGAAATTACTGTTCTTTAACAATAGTTTTCAACATTTCATAGTTGGATTCAAATCAATCAAAAGTTCAATGAATTCAACCTATATCGATTAATGGTCTTGTGATTTTACTGATTAGCCAAATTATATATAAATTCTAATTTGGTTGTTTTCATCTCAACAATTGTCTTCAAATATTGCAAATGACATAAACATCTTATAGGATGTCTTACCCTACCTAACTCTACCCTCTCACCTACCCTTAATACCTAAAAAGGTTTTTTTTACCAATCGTAGCCTAGTCTCAGAAACGGAATGGCGAAATTTTAACTCAATGACTAAAATTATTCATTTTTCTTAGAATATTGTTACCTCCCTGGTTTAGAAGAGTTCAAATGATACGATGGAAAGCTTTCTGCTCCAGTTACAATATGACAGTACACTTCCTGATAATCTAGATTCATCTGGAGATGAACTCCCCACAGAATGATATTTCTTTAGTCTACCAGGGTGAATGTTAATTACTGCCCTACTAATGAATTCTACTGAACTATCCGATGAATTACGACTTCCATAGTTAACAACCACATAATCAACCTAATCTCAATGTTCGTTGGAACCAAAATAACATCAGTTAGGTAGGGCTGAGTTTATTTATTCTTTTCATTCACAGTCACACATTACAAGATTAAGAATGGGATATTGAGTTTTTTCTGTTAAATAGGTGAACGACCTCGATTATCCATATACCCGAAGATAAGTACAGAAGTCCTGAACAATGATAAATGCGTTATTTCTTACATTGGCAGATGAATATATAAATTCAATGTGTTTCATCAAAATCGGATCAAAACTATTTTCCCTAATGGGTTCTCAAGCCGATTGTAGACAGACGGACGGACGGACGGACAGGGGAGTGGCGATAATACTGAACTTTTATTTGGCATATTGAGAAGAATGAACGGATTCATGGCAAGAACTCTTAGTACGTTAAATCCACATGAACACAACAATGTACCACGTTATAATCTCATGAAATTAAGGAGAGTCTGTATTTGATGTTTGTGTTGATCAGGTGAAAGTAGAAGTTGAAAACATTAAAGACTGCCAATAATTGAAGTGTTTTATTAGATATATGGTATATAGTTTACACCCCCACAATAACTACTAAATAAATGAACGTAATTAAAGATACCCAACCCTATATTAGTGATAATAAGAAATGAAATGAATGAAGTTTTACGTCCTACTTTTCTGCAACGTGTGGGCTAATGAAGACGGACAACGCCATACATGGTGCAATGAGGGACATTTTGTCAAGATAGCGGCATCAGCCGGCTCTTTTTCGATTTCCAACTGTGGAAGGATCTTTAACGTGTAGCACACGGGTCCTTGGTTTATTGTACCACCCGAACGACCAGACGCTTCTTCCATGTCAGACCTGCTTCACTGACAGGGGGAAACAGGGGGTGATAACAGATGAAATGTGAAGAGGAAAATGGGGAACAATAAGTGTCCGTTGTGGACCCTAAAAACATGACATTTCAGAATATAATGACTTTATGGTAGAAGTAGAAGAGTTAGAGGTTAGCAGACACTCCATTGATCGTCTGATAACACAAGAGAAGTATGATCTGAGATCCTAACAGCTCATTCACACTTCCATCATCACTCATAGCTTTCATTCTTCAACTAGCTACTGTTTTGTTCATTGTTAAATATTCTTGATCAGATTATAAATGCATGTTAATCTTCTTTCTATTTAGGTCTTATCTAAGTAGAAGTTTGAACCCGTGTCATGCTGTGTAGATGTTTCAAAATAATGAAATTACAGGCTGGTTTTTATTGACCAGTCTATTGGACACTCACTGATCATATGATAATCAAACCAAATATTACAATAGAACAACCAAGAACACAGTCGGTACAAAAAGAATACTAACTCATCAATTACAGAAACAGACAAAAAGTTAAATAAAGTTCAGCATCTTAAATTGTTTACGATTGTTAAATTGTTTTGTCTTCAATTGGATAACGGAAACACTGACCATGCATGTCTGTGGTTTCAAAACATTAACTAATACAAAACTGTTTTGGAACGTTTTCTAGTAGTCTTCTGATATACTAAAAGAACAGTGAAAGAAACGGGGTACAAAAACCGAAGTGACTTTTGATTTGGAAGCTAAACCGATGCAAATGTATGTGCACATTTCAGATTCAAGGTACATGATAAAGAGAGTATAATTAGCAGATGCGACTTTGACAAAATGCACCGGTATTGGAACATGATAACAATCATGAACAGAAAAGTAGAACATTGTATTTCCAGGGAATGGAAGGGATGAGGGATTTATCCAAAAGGATTTATACAAGAGACATGGTATAGATATTCAAGAGCCTTTCTAGGTACAAATATAAATTTCGGTTATGTTTTATGTATGTAATGGTGATGAATAACCACGTGATAAAAAGCGTCCAGACAATAAGAAATGTAATATATGTGTTATAGACATAGCGTGTATGATATTAAAACATAAGACGCTTGACCTATCGTATATTAAACACACATTAATCTTGACCCTCTCTTTACAGATCAGTGGTTTGTTCATGATAAAATTCATATCTTTATTTAACGAAACACCTTATAGTTTAAGTATCTGATATACTTCGAATACTAACCCTCGTGTCTAAAACATTAAATACTATTACGTAGTGTCCGGTGAAAGGTGGACACAGGCTCACTGTTTAATATTTTCCGTAAATTTTCGAAAATTGCAATATATTATTTAGTTTCATAGTTTGTACTTGGAATCACAACAAAATACTTACAAATACTAACAATTTCGCTCCTGTTTGTAATTATCATATTAAGCTGACATGACATTAATTCCATTAATTAACTATTCTAATAGCAACGTATGACCTCCATAATGATAAGACAGAACTTCTCAAATCTAGAAACTGGATTCAGGTTGACTATCAGTATTATGAAAATATATCAGGTGTTTCCCAAATATTTTACATTTATTCCAACATTTATTATAACATATACATAGATCTTATTTATGTAGTGTTTATTAAATGAAAATATTCAAAAGAAATTGTTTAGTCTGAAAGATATGACGTTAAGGGTTTTGAAATATGAATTAACAAGATATTTAAGATGAGCCACATTTGAAATATTTTTTCTGCAGGATTTTTCAAATATCTCAAACCTACCTGTTATTTTGCACATTTTTAAGTCGGCAATTGACATGCTATTTTCGACAAGTGGTGAGTTATTTTGTATATCCATCTCAAATTCGGAAATGAATACACTTACTAATGTTACAGCAGATCGAATTAACAAACATTTGGGCTCTGTGCCCTAGTCTGCGTTGGAACTTGAAGTTGATGTATTAACTCATGTGAAATATGTAGATCTGTCTGTTCAAATGTAAAAAAGGGTTTTACTAAAACTTTATTTAAAGGAATCAGTTACCATTTATCTTTGTAAAATCAGACTGTACAACAGTCCATACAACCCAACAGATATACCTGTACAGTTAAAACCATTGGTGTGTTTAATTTATTCAAGATTATAATTTGTCTGCTGAGCTTAATAGATGGATATGTAATATGCACATTTTTCGTCTCACTGATTTACTTTGCCAGTGTAATTAAATTATTTTAGTCTCTGATTGCACATAGTATCGTTGGTTAAATGGTCTAAAGGAAACATACGATGCACTGAAAATGCGCCTGGTGTGATATTTGGGTTACGGCGCCGAAAACTGATACTCTTGGGCCAATGCCCGTTATAGTTGCACATTGGAAATGGCAAGGCGAGTTGAAGCTGCTTTTCAGTTGTGTCCATTTTGCAGTAGACCCTATGCATTGGGACACCAACCTGGATTGATTGCGTTGAATTATGGGTTTCGTTCCGGATGAGAATTGTATAAAATTTGGTTTCCAAGGTCAAATTCAAATGAAAGTGGTCGTTACTTACATTTGAAAACAAGATAACTACATTATATTATAGCAAAGATTCAAATGTATTTGATTAAGCAATGGTTATTTTTCGTGCAGGATTCGGTAAAATGTAACAATACAAGTACATGACCTTGAGAGTGAGCGAGAATGTTGTAATCCGATGAGGTCTGCTTGATATGAGTTCACTGATTATCAGCCTGTAGTGATAACTATTTATTTCAAACAAACAATTGAAATCTGAGTAGAAATCGCCAGATTTTTAAGTTAGAAATGACTAGGACAGGTAAAATTCTCTAGTATTATGTTTGAATACATCTGTTGCTTTGGCTATGTTAACTGGCATTTTATTCTTTTTTCAGGACACATTATTATACAACTTATAAAGAAAGATATCAACCACAACAACAAACAAGATATAAGTGTTGTAATGGCTGGAGACAGTTAGGACAAGAAAGTGGAGGATGTATGTACAGTAAGTACCATATTACAATACCTGTACATAGGAAGAATAGAGAGAGAGAGAGAGGAGGAGGAGAGGGGGGGGGGGGGTTCTTACAAGAAGAGAATGATTGGAATTTAAGCAGGAAAATGATTACATCTGGTAAAACCTTGAAATAACTTGATTGTTCTTTTATGAGTAAAAAAAATAAGTAGTTCCTGCCTTACATGATTACATGATGTATTTTGTACTGTATTAAGTACTTTAAATACATGTTCATTCTGCAAAATAATCATTGAATTGAGTAACTTGACCTACAATGATTTGCATTTATCAAGTGGCTTCATTACCAATCCATGTACTTGAAACTGTTCCATTATGTTAGGTGAAAAATTATCAAGTCTAGTACCACTAAAAATTTTGTTTTAAAATTTCAACCAGTTCCCTTTCCTTGTTTTTATATGCCAACTGTTGTTATTGTTGGGATACTTAAAGAAGAAGATAGTGTTACAGCAGCCGTAACTGTAATTAAATTTTCTATTGTCGTGGCAGTTTACCCATATCTTTTGTATTATACAGTACAGAACTGTTCCCACTTCCAAACCCTAAAACTAACCTTAACAAAGATCATAAAGGCAGCTGCTATCTGTTTGTCAAAATGCAAGCCATGACCATCCCTTCCTAACTTTAATAAGTCGTCCTGTTACGGTACTGTAACGTAATTTTTAGCTGAGCTAATTAGTAATAGTGTTCACAGCTCACCGTCAAAATTTGAGCCTTCAAATCCATGTGTGTCCAGAATTATCTGCATTTAAATGTTAAAATGACGACTCATCATTATTAGATACTCTGTGATAAATAGAAAAGACATATATAGGAATAGCGAGTAAAATTCCAAGTATTTTTGATGAAATTATGTGATTTTCATACATTTCTAGTACTTCTGAAGATTATTTACATATATTCAAGACTAAAATAAACCCTCCAAAATGGCACACATGTCCCTTTAAATATAAACATGCTAAGAGTGGAAATTTCAAGGCCTGATAGTTCCAAGAAATAATGTAAGAAACAAAATGTTGTTTTGGCTTTTCTATAAATTACCATCAGATACATAGAATACCTCAGACATGTTGTGTAAGTAAAAATAATATTGAATATGACAGATCATTTAGATCATCTCATATTATGTACAGTTTTTTCCCTCTCATTACTTCTGTGGAATTTACCTGTTATTTTCATGGTGATCTAAAATAATACCTAGCTTGAGACGGTATTGAGTGCACTCTACAAGTATATTTTAAACAATTCCAGTGAAACAGTGGTGGAAATCTGTCCATTTTGGCAAGGACATGTATATTTGACGTTGCTTAAAAAAGGACAATTATTATCTGCACTTTTCTCAAAAGTGAAACAGAATATATAAGTCTGGTTGTCATGGTGAACACAACAAATACAGATTCAAAGCATAAAAAATTCCTTCTTGGTTTTCCATTTCTGCTGGTAAAACCCTTAAAATGTGTGAAAAATGCGTTCATAACATTTGTTTCACTGTTCACTTTCAAATGTATATACAGGCATGAAGAATTAGGTTAATGTTCAGATGGGAAACCCTGTCATATTTAATACAAATTTAAGGTACCAATTGCTTGAGATTTGTTGAAAATCTAATGAAAGTGTGGGAAAAGTGACTTTTGTAACATTATGTCTTAAAGTATTTATTTTAAAATATAAACACAGCAATAACAATTGCACTTTTAAAATGGTTAGATGAGAAACCCCTCTGTAAGCAGATGTAAAATTAAGATTTGGAGTAATGAAATGATGTTTTAACTGTGACTGTAATTTGAGTGACATGTTTGAGTAAAATTTGGTGGGTGGTCGTGTTATATTACTGTTTCTAACTTTACTGATGATAGATGGTGGCTCCCGGCATACATTGCCAAAATCTCTGTGGTTAGATATGCTGCTTTTACATTGAGGTCTTTAATCTGAAAAGCATTTCAATGTAAGGAATACCAGGCCAACATACAACTAACATACTTATTCTAGGAGGCGTAGAATATTGTAATTTATGCTGTTATTGAAAGATTCTGAAATAAACTGCAATTTTTGGCACTGTCATATCTACAGCATCCATGCCAGGCATTGTTATTTTTATTATGAAGCCTTATCTTGTAGGCATCATTATTTTTTCTTTCTAGAGGCTGGCACCATTCCATGCTTTATTAGCTTTTGATTCATTTCAACTTTGGTATATTGCCCTATATTTCATATGAAATACCAAATAATGCTATGCTGATGTTAGACTGTAATATTTTGTCATCTTAAGAATAACTAAGCCAGATACAAAAGTCTTCCAAGTTAAGTTTTTGACATTATTTTTGATGTATGTTTCAGAAGCTTTTCAAGTTTTATTATGTTGCTGTTATATATATTGCTCAGTGGGTGGTAGCACAGAAATTAAATTTAGAAACTGTGTCATCGGGTATATAATATTTGTATTGACAAAACATCTTTCAGATGTTGTTTTATTTCAGCGGTTTAATTTAGTTTAGTTTAGTTTATTTGAAGGCAATGTAATGCCATAAATATACAAAAACAAAATTGTTACTCTCCAAGTGGACAGAGTTTAGAAACTCAATCTGTTGGTGGTATCAGGTGATCACAAGGGATGAGTACTCACTGCCTCTCTAGTAACAACTACCCAAAGACTAGACTAATTCCATAGCAAGGTCATGGATTCAGCAATTTTCGAGCTAAAGAGTGTGTCAAAAAAAACGAAAACCAGTACTGATTAAATCAACAGGTGTCACTTGAACCACAGGCAATGTTTACCCTTGTAAAACACCTGATGGCACCCTGTGATAGTGCTTGCCAAATCAATCTTCACAAGATTCCTTCTATGTGAGTCATGTTGCCTGTCTTAACATATTTTTTGTTTGTTAAAAGCTTATTTTTTAATTAGTGTAACTAAAAATACATGGATAGTAGTCCTAATTACCCAATGAGTAATGTTTCATGAATTGTACTGCATGTAGTTCATTGACTATCTAACGAGGTACATGTATAAAAACATATTGGTGTATCGTTTAGCCAAGTACTAATATCATTTTACTTCCATGCATTGTTAACTCGTAACATATTGTTCTATTTTCAATCTCATTACTTGTTGAATGTTTTCTTTGTAAATTAAAAGATGTTTCTTGGAGGTAAATGAGCAGAAACAAGTAATAGTGTACCTCTTCCCTTTAGGACACGTCTTGTGAAACTCTTGGAGAAAATGAAATTAAGCCTTGTATTACCTTGTTCAGAAACCACCTCCTTGAGATGGGTTAGAATTGGAAAGGTTCTCAAAATGCTTGACTGTTTTACACAAAATCCATCCATAATGAATCCAATTTTATATAATTTGTACAGGTTTGAATTCAATTTTCAGATGGATGGATCAACGTTTGTTTTTAAAGGTTGCTGACTTCAGTCCAAGATTATTTATAACTATAGCAGCTGGCTTGACTGGAATAATATGAAAATTAAGTTATTCAATACGATAAGAAAAATTTCAAAATTCCAAATAGATTTGTAATTGTTCTGGACAAGGCACTTTCCAAATTACTGTTTCAAGATATTTTTTAAACAATATTTTAATGAATGTCTACCTCTTTGTTTCTAATATAATTATAATATATTAATGATATAATAAGCTGCTGGCTGGTTACAGGTGTAAAGGATAAGACAGCTGTAAGGATGTAGGTTATCGCCAAACACCACATTAGTTATGTGCTCATTAGAGTTAATTGTACTTCTTGTAATTCTGCTTTCTGGTATATTATATCCTTTTTTCATTGATTAGAATTCTCAGTGAATCTTGACTGGCTGTGAAACCACCATCTACAATTTCAAAGTTGAAAACTAGCTAATTTTTTTTAGTCTAAGAAATTGAATTCATGTTAGAAGTAATTAGACCATAAAATGAAAAATGAAATGAATGGAGTTTTATGTCCAACTTTTCTGCACCATGTGTGCTAATGAATACTGGCAACACCATGCAGGGTACAACGAGAGAAATTTTGCCAGGACAGTGGCATTAGCCTGCTCTTTTTCGATTTCCAACTGGCGAGGGATCTTTAACGTGCACAGCCTGTAGCACACAGGGCCTCAATTACTGTCCCGAACGACTTGACGCTTTTTCCATGTCAGCACCTCTTACATGCATCACTGACAGGTGGAAACTGGGTTGAAAAATCCGAAGGTATTATCTCGACCTATGCCAAATAGATCATAGAAACAGAATATCAGTGATACCTTTACCAAACTATAAAATGTAATACTTCATCTTTGAACATTTGCTTTACTGTGGTGTTTTATTGAAAATATTCAAAAAGTCTCAATTAAAACTCTCAAACAAACTTGAAATTCAGATGATCTTATCTGCAGGGCATACAAGTCCAGTAACACTTAATGGGTTGAAACAACATTGTCTGCTATAACCTGAAAGTTACAAACCACATATGTCTGGTTGATTTATAAAAACTGTACATAAAAACAGATACATGATACTTAAAATTTGGAACAGCTCATCAACCATGTCAAGTATCACTTAAAGCATACTTTTGTAACAGTTACAACCTTTCTAAAAACATGGTTCATCTTTAAATATGGTGCCGTGCAAGATACTTTAAGGTTGAAAGATGAATAATATCCTCAATTATGAGTACTCCATTTTTATACGCCCACATGAAATGGGGGGGCGTATATTGCCGTCACCTCATTCCGTCTGTCCGTTTGTCCGTCTTTCGGTCCATCCGTCCGTCCGTCCACAATTGCTCGTAAACACTCTACAAGGCACAATTCTTGACGGATTTTGACGAAACTTGGCATGAGTGTTGGTTATCCCATGGATAAACCGTATTGAAAAACAGAAAAATTGAAAAATATTTAGTATGAGTTATTGCCCTTTTTCTTGAAAACCCGTTCAATTTGTAGCTCATAAAAACTCTAAAAGGCCTGATTCTTGCCGAATTTTGACAAAACTTGGTTTTATTATTCATTACCGCACTGAAGATTGAATATTTGTCTTCTAGAGTTTTCACGAGCTAAAGATTGAACACGTTTTCAAGAACTAGGGCAATAACTCATACTCAATATTATTCAGTATCGCCCTAAAGAGATCAAAAGAAGTGTATGACTGAAGGTTGAATATTTCATACTGGTGATTGTTACTGTACTGCTAAATATTTGTTCAAAATCAAAGCTGCCAGTGGGCGTATATTACCTTGCCTGGCAAGCTATCTTTAAAGCTGAAGTTTCAGATCATTTTCAAGACATAGATATTAAGTTTATAGAGAGTCAGCCTTTTAGTTACCATCTGTAAAGCTTAAAGAAAGAAAGAAATATCAATTTTACCCAGTTACAGCTTGGTTGACTTGAATAATGAAGAAAATGACTTAATCAAGGTCACAAGACTTTCACACACTAACTCAGATTACAACCCATAAACACCATTTGTTCGACATAACCAAATGAAATGAAATGAATGGAGTTTTACGTCCTACTTTTCTGCACCATGTGGGCTAATGAAGACAGATATTATCTCGACCTATGCCAGAACTCTAGACCATCAGGTAATCGAGAAAGAGTCTAACTCACTAAGCCACCGCAGCTCCACTTTGACATAACCAAGAAAATGGTACTGACTGTGCTACAGAACTTTTATTGTGGTGTTGAGAGGTTAATATTACTTTGTGTAATAATCTGACTATACCATGTCACTCCTGATCTTTAAAAGGTGAAGAGTTGTATAAATTAGACTTGAGAAATATTTTAACCTATAAAAAGCAAGATATTTAACTGTCTTAAGGGATTTAAAAGTATTTAGGGTTGAATTTCAGGGATTACATTGTATTATTATATAGATCATATTTTGACATTACAGTGTCTGGTAAATACATTTAACTTGTTCTTCTGAAGTGTCTTGAAGCTGGGTATTAAAAAAAATCAGTACATTCAAACTCAGTTTGAAGAGCAATTTGCTGGAAATTTTGTTTCATATTATTAGATGATTATTTAAAATAGTCAAATTTTATTTTGGTAAACTTGCAATACCTACCTGAAATACTTGAAATTTTGTGAATTAGCCCAAAGTGATCAGGTACTCTACAAATTTATTACAAGATTTACTTATCTCACTTCAGGCCTCCATGGCACTGACTGGTATCACCAACTGTAAATGTATCAGTAATGTTTGAAATTAAAAGCCTGAATGATTAAGTATAAGATTGTATGTAATCCCTGTTTAACATATGGCTTGTATTTATTTATAAATATTTCTTGGTGGTTAATTGAGATGTTTTATCTTAGTATCAAATTCTTGTATTTCATTAATTTCCTTTAGATTAGATTTATTGAACTTCTGTTGGTGTTAAATCTGAAATTGCTTTTCATCCTGAACAACACATGGTGCTATATTTATTTTCTGTGTTGCAACATTAATATTCCTTTATTTTTCATCAATTCATGATCTTTTCTATTGGTTATGTAGAATTCTGGAAAAAGAAATAGGCTATAGTGGGGTGATATGTACTAGATGGTGGCTAAAAGACATCATTATTATGTAAGGATATGAATGTGAGACATACACAGTTGTGCAGACTAAGGGTAATATGTTTGTAGGACATGTCAATCTGGGTATGATAGGATGAAAACTTTTCAAGAATAAGAAATTAAGAGTTCTGTGGTAATATTCTTGTATATATTTAATAACACATTAGTATTTAAAAATAAACAATTTTCTTTGACACTTATCCTACAGTCTCTTCTATTTTCTTAGTAAATTTTCACCAAATTTCTTTCAATTTCTCACAGGTTTGACAGGTTTACTAATATCATTCTTTAAATTGTTATTTGATTCATGTGAAGTTTTAAAACAGGAAGTATTAAGTTGCCAAAACAAGGGTGCACTGTTGTCTAAATGTTTCTGCTCCCTTTTCCATTAGCTATTTTAGTCCAACTAATGTGCATATCTTTTCCACATCTTAAATATCACTCTTTAAATCAATTATGAAAATTGCAGTTGGCCTGTCTCACAAATGTGTCAATTTCTTGTTGAAAGGAGAATTTAATGGCTAAAAATATATAAACTAGAGATAACTTGTTAGCTTGTTTTAAATATCATGGGAACCACATAATAACAATTTTCTTTTAATAAAAATCTAATATATTCTGTGGTAGGGTGATAATGATTGAAATTAAGCTGGAGCCATAATTATGAATGAAATTTCTAAGAATTACAGGAACTTGATGCTACTTTGTCCATTTATTATATTTTTTTTCTTCCTTCTACAATACAACAAGCTCTTACAAAGACTGAGTCTTAGTTCAAAGTTAGAACTGCCTAAATATTTAAGTTGCAATCTCATTTGCTTTTTGTTTTCCCAAATAATTTGAAATAAATTGAACTAAATGGGTTTCAAACTTGACACAATGTCAAACTACACCCAATTTGATTTCAATTTATTATGACATCAATGATAAAGGTTAGACATTCTTTACTAGGGGGTTACAAAATATAATATAACTAAGTCTATTACCTCAGTCTTTATGCTATATAACAGTGGTTTTTCATGGTGGGTTATCAACAATACTAATAGTTATTTAATACAAATGTACTGTATATGATTATAATATTTTACTTCATATACATATTGTTATTCAATATATGATTACCAAAGCCATGAATGAACAAAATGGCTATGAGGAATTATTCATTCACTTCTGATTTCAAAAATGAAGATAGTAGCCTACTCAGCATGAAGGGCAATACAAAATACTCAGTCCTGAAAATATATTATCAATTCAATAACAATCCATATGGAGTCACATGTACAGTACAGCATGTTAAAATGTTTTGTGGACAGGAGATATATTCTCAATGACAAACAAAGGAAGAGGAAAAGTTGTCTGGCTTTAACTGAAAGTGAAAAGTTCAAGAAGCTCTATAAACACCTGAAATAACTTGGTGATAAAAATACCTGTATTTTCTTTGTTTACAATCATACTTATTTATTGTTCAATAAACAAGTAATAAATCATAGCTAGCCATTTATCTACTCTAATATACTCTTTAAATTCTTGTATGCAGGTTTAATAAATGGCTGCCAAACCATGTTGTTTATTGTGTATATTCCATTTATAATTTGTTTCAAAATGGTCTTGAAGAAATGTTTCTGCCTATGTACCTTGGTATAAAGTTTAGAAATTTGCCTAGATGTTTGTTTACTTTTTTACAGTTTTAATAAGAGCTTCCAAAAAAGTAGCTTTGGGATAATTGATTAGATCCTCCATCCAATATAATCATTGATTTGTGAATATTTCTGATTTGATTCATAGATATTTTGATTTTAATACTAAATGCATCATTCTGCTGCTGTTTACAAGCTGTGAAGATTAATATAATATGAGTCTGTGTTTATTCAGTTGATGACAGAAAACATAAATACATCAGGGAACATTTATTTTCTTAAATAACGTG